TAGGTCCCGAATTGCCCAGCAGGCAGCTGTCTGGGGACGCACCGTCTGGCCTGGACCCTCTCTAGGGACACCACCTCCCGGCGCTGGCTCCCGCCCTCCACCCTCCTGTCCACCGCCCTGCGTCCAGCTCTGGTATCTGCCGCGGATCTGTGGGGTGGCCCCTGTCCAGCCCCCTGCACCTGCCATCCAAGGGGGGGCAGTCCAGCAGGCTCCATCCAGGGAGTGGGGTGCAGACTGCGCTGTGGGAGAAGCAATTCCACCCCCAGCGCCTCCACCCCTCCCCCGACCCCGCACCCAGCCTCAAGAACCAGGGGTCCTGCCCACTGCCTCACCCCCTCCCTCCCACCGCCGAGTGTGACCCCACCCATGAGCACGCACCCCTCTTGGACGACATCTGGCATTTGGCTTGGCTTTTATGATGGATTGGGATGCTTGGGTGAGTGCTTACCTTAAACAAATAGAATTGAAACGAGTCCCTCTCTGCCTCTAGCCGGGTGCCTTTTCACTGAGTCTATTGAGTAGGGAGAGAAAAAGAAATGTACAGGGGTGGGGGGCGGCCCCCCAAACACCCCCAGAGAGGCCGCTTCCCAGGCTGCACGCACTTCTGAAAGAGGCTTCCGGGTGGGGTCTTCAGTTGTGATGATGGACGTGGGGTCCTGCTGGTCCGGTTCACTGCAGCCTCAGACTCGGGGTTGCAGCCAGGGGAAGCCAGGCCTTCCCACAAGCCCTGAGCAGGCGCAGGGGCTGGGCTGGAGTGGTGGACAGTCTGGCCCAGGGGCCGCGCTCCTGGTCACCAGCGCGCCTCGGGCAGGGACAGCTCAGAGCTGTCTCCCCACCCAGGACAAGTGGGGTGGCTGGCCCCTGCCATTAGGCCGCTAGACGCCCCTGGGAGCCCTGGTCCCCGAGTTCTGCCTGTCTGCCTTCCGTCTGCTTGGGGAGCAGCTCCCTCCGGACCCAGATACAGGGCGGGCAGCTCCCCGAGGGAGAATAAGGCCCTTTCTGACAATAGGGGCTTCCCAGTGCCACCCTCACCACACGGTGGGGTGGCCTGGGGCAGTGGCGAGCCTTGAAAGGCTCAGGCAGACTAAGAAGCTAAGAGTCCTTACTTTTGCAGATGAGGAGACTGAAGGCGACATGGCCACGGCCTCCTCCCCCCACCCCCTCCCCGCGAGCTCTGGTGGAAGTGGGGGGCCGTGTTCTGGTGGCATGTTGGCTTGGCTGTTCTGCCTGTTCCAGCAGCTGCGGCTTCCAGGCCCCCCTGACGTGTTTGTAAAGCTCTCCAGGGCTGGGCACGTCAACAGCCTCTTTCCTGTGGACTTGGGTGGTTTGCAGGAGAGGGGACAGGGCCAGCTGAGGCCAGTGAGAGGCTGGGGTGCACGGCAGAGGGGTCTGGCTTTGGGAGGGGACAGCCTGGGGTCTGGAAAGGAGGAGAGGGGAGGAAGGAGGAGGAAAACAGAGGCCCTAGAAGCCGGGCCTGCAGGACGGGGCTCTGCCCCGGAGCCAGGGACTTTGGCCTCTCCTGCAAGCCCAGCGCTGGCAGCTGGGGGCCCGGCGGGCCTAGGGCCAGGGGAGCGGAGCCTGGCACAGGAATCGGCACCCCCTTCTCTCCAAAGCAGCCTGTCATTTCCCTGTCACCTTCTGGTGGGGTCATGAGGGGGCGGCAAGCCCAGGGAGGCCTCTCAAGGCCGATGCCAGAGTCTTCTGCAGAGGTGGGGGGTGGGGGTGCGGTCAGCACAGGGGAGGCAGCTGCCGCGGGCGTCCCCGCGCCTGCCCAGCCTGGCTCCGTCGGCAGCGGCCTCTGGGCCTGGCGTGGGGCGCCACGTTGCGTGCCTGGCCGGATGTGGGTGTGCGCGGCACGCCATTGTCCTCTGCTCCTGCGCGGCTCCACGGCTGCCGGGCTGGTGAACCCGGTGACTGGGGCAAACTCCACGCTGCGGAGCGGCGGGTGCGCCCCTGCGGGCTCCCTCCTCGCCCCACGTGGTGACCTGCTGCGGCCTGAGCAGGCGCTTGAGCTGGGGACGCCCAGCAGGCACGCGGGGAGCGTCGGAGAGAACGCGGGCAGCCACAGAAAGGGGGACACCCCTAGCGTGATGGGCACACCCCCACTCCCTTCACACCCACGACCACACACACAGACACCCCACGACCACACACGCCCCCAACGCACACAACGCAACCCCCCAGCACCCAACATCATACCCCACAACCACACACGGTACGTTGTGCCTCACTGTGCTGCACGGCGCCGGCCCCGCAGGGAGATCTGCTCCCCAATAACAAAGCACCCAGGTTGAGACGCCCCCACTGAAACGCGGAAATTAGCATCAAGGGACTCCCCAGCACCATCGAGCTGTGCTCCGGGCGGCACGCCTGACTTGCACCTGTACGCACGCACCCTCCCACGCACGCTCACGTGTGTGACACACGTGCACACGCCCAAGCGCGATGCACCCACACGCACCCTGCACACGCTCGCAGGGCACCGCCGCAGGGCACCGCGTGAGGCACAGACCCGCACATGCGCACACGCGCACACGCCCACTCGCGTGCGCAAGGCCACGTGTGCACACACACTCAGGTGCACGCCGACACTTGCACACCCAGACGCTCTCTTTCGCCCACCTCCAGCCCTGCCGCTGCGCTCAGAGACCGGCCTCACTCTGCTGCCCGCCCTGTCGGTTGAATGGGGGGCCCTGACTTCCAAGTGCCGGCCCCCAGCGTGGGGAGCACCGGGCTGGGACCCCCGTGCGCTGCGAGGCGGTTGCTGACCTGGCCCTCCTTCCCGCGCGCCCCCGGGGGCCTGACCTCCTGCGCCCCTCGGAGTGTAGGCGGGTAGGGGGCATGGGCCCTGGGACAGCGCTCCTGCCCTGCCCCGGACCCTTCCTACAAGGGCCGAGCTCGCACCGGGGTTCAGGGACCTAGAGGACGCCACTGGCCGCCGCCTGCCCAGCCCCACCTCCCGCGTCGCACCCATCCGAGGCTGTCCCAGTCTGTGGCTGGCCCCAGCTCAGGCAAGGGCAGCTGGAGGAAGCTGGGGTTGCGGGGGAGAAAGTCGGCACTGATGGGGCCACCTGTGTCCTCCATGACACCCCCGGCCCTGGCCTATCCCCTCCCCGTCTTGGGCTCACTGGGGTCCTCGCGTGGGGTCCCCGTGGATGGGAGAGGGCGTGTCCACAGCAGGCAGGCAAATACCAGCACAAAGGTCCTGGGTTCAAGGTATGGCCCTGCACCTCCCCCCGCCGGCCTGAACCCACTGACCTGGGCGGGTGGGGAAGCGGCTCATTGAACCGCTGTTTGTTCAGGGCGCCAGGGCCTGGCCCCAGGCCAGCAGCGAGGATAGCAGCTCTCCGCCTGGGCCAGCCCCTTAGATTGGAGGTGGCCTTTCTACACCCTGCCCCCAGAGACACCCTGCCCGGCGCGGAAGGCCCCCTGCCTTAAACACACACACAGGCACACGCACACACGCAGGCATCTCCTGGCCGCCGTCTCCTCCGGCTCCCTGCAAACAGCCTTGGGAGCCCGGGCGGGGCCCTCTCAGCTCTGTGACTCCAGGGGCCCAGACAGCCCACCCCGGCCCTCGGGCCCCGGGCTTGCCAGGGACTCCGTAGAACCCAGGACCCCCTTCCCCGTCTGCCATGGAAGCGGGCTGGGCTGGTGGTGAGGACCTGTGCGGTGTTGGGGGGCCGGCCGGGCACATCCGCCCCCCGCAGGCCGGGCTTCTCTCTGTGGATACCGCTGGCTGTGATGGAGAGGGCAGGGCAGGGCAGGGCGATGTGGGCTTCAGCCTGGAGGTCGGCCTGCCCTGGCCTCTGCCCTCGAGGGACATGACCATGGTGATTTGCTTTACACGGGGGGCCCCACTTACTGTTCCCGTCAGTGTGCACAGTGTGACGCCGCCTCACAGGTGTGAGGTGTGCTTCGGGGTACATTTATAATAAAAGTGTTCTTTCTTGTTTATCTGAAATTCAGATTGAACTGGGCACCCCCTATTTCACTGGCGTCCACTGCATCTATGTCGATTGTAGAGGACCCGGAAAACTCAGGGTGCAGGGGAGGGGCTGCTCAGCACTCCCCCTCCTCCCCACCCCCCAAACTCGATCCTCTGGCCTGGTCTGTGAGTTCTGCACAGAATTTACATTTCACATCTTTAAAGGACTGTGAGGGGGGAAAAAAAAAAACACAATGAGGAAAGTGTGGTCAGAGACTATATGTGGTTTGCAAAACCTAAAATATTTACATTTATTATCTGGCACTTCACACAAAAAATATGCTGACCCACAGCTGGTTGGGGGGGGGGGGACTAAAAGCTTCTGGTATTTATATACCTGTTCGGGGAAGGGCTAGAGACTCAACTGGGCGAGTTAAGGAAATCTAGGTCTCTGCAAGGGGAAGGCCCCAAAGGCGGAAAAAAAGGAGGCCTATCGAAAAGGCCCCTAAGAAAGAAGGGGTGCTCTCTGGCTCACTGGGGTGGGGGGGCCCCACAGGGCTGCCTGGCTCCTCCCTCTCCCGGCTAGCCTGACATGTCTTGGCCTTTCTATAAAAGGTCACCGGGTGTCCCAAAGTCCACGGGAGGCCTCCTCAGGCTCTTTGAAGGCCTCCCCTCCCCGGACTGGCCTGGGGCAGGAGAGAGACCAGGTGGACGGGTTTACGCAAGGCCCAGACGCAGGGCAGGGCGGGCCAGTCGCCTGTCTCTTTAAATCTCAGGTAATTTGGGAGGAGGGTGGGAGTGTCTACCTGGCTCCCGCTGCTGCTGCTCGCCCCAGAGGCCCCGGACTGCCGGCCCAGCGCCCAGCGGAAGAGCCCAGCTCTGCGAGAGGCGCCACTCGAGTCCTCTCCAGTCCAGTGGGGACACCTGGCCCTCCAGGTGACTCCTGCGGGGGCCAGGGTGGAAGGAGACGGGACCTCTTCAGGGAGAGGGCAGGCCGGCCCTCGGGGGGGCGGATGTGGCCCCGAGGCTGAGCCCCATCAGGGCCTGGCCTTGGCCTCAGCCCCCCAAGGAGCCGGCCTTACCCCCCATGGGGCTGGTGCTGCCCGAGGAGAAGGGACTCATTCTCTGCCTGTGGAGAAAGTTGTGTGGACGGTTCTGGAGACAGGAGTCATGGACGCAGAGCCGAGATGAGCAGAACCTGCAACAGCAGAAGAGGTGAGTCACCTGCCCTGCACCCGGGCGCCCCTCACCTCTGCCCCTCCGCTCCCCCACCCTTGCTCTGCTTGGCCAGCTGACCGGACAGAGTGTCCTTCCGAGCCCGGTTGTTCTGGGGAGCACTTTGGAGAGCCTGGGCTGTGGGGCTGGCGCCCCAGGATGCCAGGTGGGAGAGAAGGGCTGGGCCCAGGTGTTTGCTGTCTTTAAGATCCAGCTCTCAGGAGCGTGCCCGGGGCCGTGCCTCGCGGGCCTGAGGAGGAGGGCACACTTCTGACGTCCAGGGAGAGGTGACAGCTGGCCGGGACATCGCCTCCCGTCTCTGCACCTGGCCCCAGAGCAGTCCGCCCCGCGGAAACATGCACTGCCCGTGTGCACATGTGGGCTGAACGAATGAATGAATGAGATGGCAAGGGGACCCGGCCGGAGGCGGGAGTGTGAGCCGGTTTCCCTCACTCTGCGTTTGTGGTGCCCGGCACTGGCCGTGGCTTGAGTGCAGGCCGGGTGCTGGGGGGACATGAAGCTGGACAAAGCTAGGACCCCGCCCTGGCGTTTTTGGTTCTGCTGGGGGGCGGAGGTGGGGGGAGAGGCGCAGGGCCACTGGCCAAATCCCAGCTGTGCTTGGGGCTCAAGCTCCCCCCGTTTCTCAATCAGCCGAGGGATCTGAGAGGGTCCAGAGTTTGAACCTGGCGGACATCTCACCTGTGGCTTCAGCCCCTGGACCTCCCCAAACTTGGGGCTCCCTTTCCAGCACGGAGGCGTTTGGCCATGGAGCTGGGGGTGGGGGGCGGCCCCCACACTGGGAGTGCGGTCTCCTCTCCAAGTCCCTGATGGGTCTCCCCACCCAGGCGTGGCATTCCGGGAGGAAGTCCGCCCTTTGGGGCTTTCCCTGGTCCCTGCGCAGACAGATAATGCGCCCATTCATCGGGAAAGCCCGGCGCTCTTGCGTCTGGGGTCCTCTCCAGGTCCGCTAGCAGGCCCTGGCGGGAGGCGGGGCCGCCTGGTGCCCACGCGTTCTCTTCTTTTGCGCAAGGACGGTGGGGGACCCCGGGGGGGTTCTCGGATTTGGGTTTAGCTTCCTGTCTCTCCCACCAGCCACCCACCTCTCTCCCCCCCGGGCCTGGGAGAGTGGGGGCCGAGCACATGGCTGGTGCATGACGTCTAGAGGCAACAGAACAGCATTATTGTTGGAGAACAGGCCCTCTCTGGCTCCCCAGCCCACTCCTGGGCCTCCGTTCCCACTCTTGGACCCTGGGGCTGGGGGAGCCCCACACTGCAGAAAGGCCTGGGGACGAGGAAGGGGTGTCAGCCTCACTGCAAGGCTAAGACAGTGCAGGGCCCAGGCGCCTGCCTGCCCAGCCTGGCCCCTTGCTGCAGACGGCCCCGAGGGAGGGGCCCCGCTCGCCTGTGGGCTGTGCTGGCCTGGTGCCATCAGCCGCGTGCCCCTCCACCCGGCCTGGCTCCGTGGCATCTGTCTTCCTCTCCATCCTGGACAGCGGGAGCCTGGAGCATCGGCTCCCCTCGGCTGTGGGCAGAGTCTAGAACTGTCTGTCAGCCAGAATGAGGGGAGACGAGGTGGGGGGAGGGGTGTAAGAGGCCGGTGTCAGAGAGCAAATGGACGGTGGTGAGGGGTCAGCCGACAGGAGGAGCAGCGTGCAGTGGGAACCCGGCACCCCAAGTCCACCTGGGAGCCTGGGCCTGTTAGCATCTCCGGTGAGCCAGGCAGGCCCGGAGGGAGCAAGTCAGAACTAGAACCTGTGGCCCAGGGGCTCCCCGGGGGACTTGGGGGCCTGGGGAGGTCGAGCAGGGGTGGCTCCCTCGTGACCCAGCCTTCCTCTCTGGGATCTCAGTCACCTGCGCCCCACATTTCAGTCACTCACTGGGAATCAGGCTGAATTCTCCCCTATTTCTTCTGCCTCGTTCCTCTCTGGGCCTGGAATTTCCTTCCCTGAGGTTCCGTGTCGGGACATTTCTGGAGCCCGAAGCACTGTGCTGGGCGTGCAGAGATGAGCCTGTCCCGACCCTCTCAGCTCGCTTGGGTTCTTGCCACTAAATGCAGGTGCTTTTGCTTGGAGTACAGTGAGCAGGGGGAAGCACCCCAAGATGGCAGAGCCCTGGGGCTGGGGGGACAGTGTCCAGAGGAGACTGCTGCAGGACCCACCGCCCCCGCGGCCCTGGTGGGGGCACTGGACCCTGGGCCCTGCGTTAGCTAGGCGGCTGGGTCGGCCCCAGCCCTGAGGTGAGGCGCGCCCCGACTCCCTCTGCAGTCCATTCCCCGCGAAGCCCCGTGTGCAGGGCGCAGGGGAGTGACGACCCGCCTCGGGCTGGAAGCTGCCCCTTCCCAGCCTGGCCTTCCACCTCTGGCCAAGGGACAGCCGGAGGGAGGTGGCCGGGAGTGGCTGGCTATGCCTGCTCCCGACATGGCGCTCCTTCCTCCCCCTGAGGTCACTGCTCCCCCAGCTGGCGCCCCGCTCCCCAGAAAAGTCAGGAAGAGCCACAAAACGAGAAGAACCACATAATTCTGTGGTGAGAGCCTAAGGCTAAGTTCTTGGCCCGGTTTTCTGCCTTAACTCTGTGTGATCCGGGCAAGATGGGGAGAGTTGCTGCCTTGATGTCCTCTGTGCAAACTGAGACAATGATTCCGTGCGTGTGATGGGGTTCTAAGGAGCCGGAGTGATCCCCTGGGGGGCGCCGCTTTGGAAGCTGAAAAGCACAGGTCACAAGGGGTGGGGATGGTGGAAACCTGTGAGACAGTAGCACCCGGTGGCAGGGACGATGCCACGAATGCCTCCTGGCAGAATTGGGGGCACCCGAGGGTGTCTGGCCCATTCGGGGCACCCTCCCCTCCCCCAGGCACACCCATTGCACGGGGCACTCGTGGAGACACTAGGAGACCCCCATGGGAGCAGGTGGGCCCAGCCCTGGTGCTGCCAAACCCCCCGCAATCCCTGCCAACGGGGGCGGGGTGACCCTCCATGGGTCCTGTCCCAGCCCTGCCTCCAGGGACTGGCGACAAGGCGCTGGGGCTCTGACCCCCCCCCCTTCCAGTGCAGAAGGGACTGCATGACTGCATTTCTCAGGACTCTCCAGACTAACCTCTGACATGGATTCTCCTGACATCCTGATGGTTTCCCAGCAACCAGAGACAAACCTCCGCATGTGTGCATGCACAAACACAAACCTCCACACGTGTGCACACACAAACCTCCACACGTGTGCACACACAAGCCTCCACACGTGTGCATGCACAAACA